AAAGAGTTCCACAGGTTGACTGTGTGTTTTGTGAAGATATACTTCCTTTTGTTTGTTTTTAAATGGGCTGCCTATTAATTTTATTTGGTGACACCTACTTCTTGTGTTATGAGGAGTAAATAACACCTCCTTATTTCTCCACACCAGTCATGATTTTATAGATCTCTATCATATCCTCCCCTTAGTCATCTCTTTTCCAAGCTGAAAAGTCCCAGTCTTATTAATCTGTTCTCATATGGAATGTGTTGTCCTTTTCTGTACCTTTCCCAATTCCAATATATTTTTTTTTGAGATGGGGCAACGAGATCTGTACGCAGCGTTCAAGATGTGGGCGAACTATGGATTTATATAGAGGCAATATGATATTTTGTCTATGCCGTCCCTAATGATTCCCAACATTCTGTTCGCTTTTTTGACTGCTGCTGCACATTGCGTGAATGTTTTCAGAGAACTACCCACAATGACTCCAAGATCTCTTTCTTGAGTGGCAACAGCTAATTTAGACCCCATCTGGGGACCTGGGGCGGCAAAAAAGCCAGAGCCGGCCCTGCCCAAAATACCGTATTCATCTGTGTGTGTGATAATTCTGTTCTTTACTATAGTTTCAACCAATGTGCCTAGTACTGAAGTTAGGCTTACTGGCCTGTAATTGCCAGGGTCACCCCTGGAGCCTTTTTTTAAAATTGGTGTCACATTAGCTATCCTCCCGCCATCTGGTACAGAAGCTGATTTAAATGATAGGTTATATGCCACAGTTAGTAGTTCTGCAATTTCACATTTGAGTTTCTTCAGACCTCTTGGGTGAATACCATCTGGTCCTGGTGGTTTATTACGGTTTAATGTATCAATTTGTTCCACAACCTCCTCTCTAATGACACCTCAGTCTGGGACAGTTCCTCAGATTTGTCACCAAAAATGAATGGCTTAGATGTTGGAATCTCCCACACATTCTCTGCAGTGAAGACTGATACAAAGAATTCATTTATCGGGGTAGCCGTGTTAGTCTGTATCCACAAAAACAACAAGGAGTCCGGTGTCACTTTAAAAACTAACAGATTTATTTGGGCATAAGCTTTCGTGGGTAAAAACATCTGAAGAAGTGGTTTTTTTACCCACGAAAGCTTATGCCCAAATAAATGTGTTAGTCTTTAAGGTGCCACCGGACTCCTTGTTGTTGGTTTTTTTAAAAGAATTCATTTAGCTTTTCTGCAATGGCCTTATCTTCCCTGAGTGCTCCTTTAGCATCTCCATCATCCAGGGGCCCCACTGATGGTTTGGAAGGCTTCCTGCTTCTGATGTACTTAATTTTTTCCCCCGTTAGTTGTTGTTTCTTTTGCTAGCTGCTCTTTAAATTCTTTTTTTGGTCGGCCTAATTATACTTTCACACTTGACTTGCCAGAGTTTATGCCCCTTTCTATTTTCCTCCGTAGGATTTCACTTCCAATTTTTTAAAGGATGCCTTTTTGCCTCTAACCACCTCTTTTACTCTGTTGTTTAGCCAGGGTGGCATTTTTTTGGTCCCGTTACTATGATTTTTAATTTGGGGTATACATTTAAATTGAACCTCTATTATAATGTCTTTAAAAAGTTTCCATGCAGCTTACAGGGATTTCAGTTTTGGCGCTGTACCTTTTAATTTCCGTTTAACTAACTTCCTCATTTTTCTGTAGTTCTCCTTTCTGAAATGAAATGCTACCATGGTGGGCTGCTTTGGTGTGGCTCCCCCCCGCCCCCTGGGTGTTACATTTTATTATGTTATGGTCACTATTACCAAATGGTTCAGCTATATTCACTTCTTGGACCAGATCCTGTGCTCCACTTGGGACTAAATCAAGAATTGCCTCTCCCCTTGTGGGTTCCAGGACTAGCTTCTCCAAGAAGCCGTCATTAACAAACTAGGGAAATACAACCTAGATGGAGCTACTACAAGGTGGGTGCATAACTGGTTGGAAAATCGTTTCCAGAGAGTAGTTATTGGTGGTTCACAGTCATGCTGGAAGGGCAGAATGAGTGGGGTCCCGCAGGGATTGGTTCTGGGTCCGGTTCTGTTCAATATCTTCATCAATGATTTAGATAATGGCATAGAGAGTACACTTATAAAGTTTGCGGATGATACCAAGCTGGGAGGGGCTGCAAGTGCTTTGGAGGTTAGGATTAAAATTCAAAATGATCTGGACAAACTGGAGAAATGGTCTGAAGTAAATAGGATGAAATTCAATAAGGACAAATGCAAAGTACTCCACTTAGGAAGGAACAATCAGTCACACACATACAAAATGGGAAATGACTGCCTAGGAAGGAGTTCTGCGGAAAGGGATCTGGGGGTCATAGTGTATCACAAGCTAAATCTGAGTCAACGGGGTAACGCTGTTGCAAAAAAAAGCAAACATCATTCTGGGATGTATTAGCAGGAGTGTTGTAAGCAAGACACGAGAAGTAATTCTTCCACTCTACTCCGCGCTGATTAGGCCTCAACTAGAATATTGTGTCCAGTTCTGGGCGCCACATTTCAGGAAAGATGTGGACAAATTGGAGAAAGTCCAGAGAAGAGCAACAAAAATGATTAAAGGTCTAGAAAACATGACCTGTGAGGGAAGACTGAAAAAATTGGGTTTGTTTAGTCTGGAGAAGAGAAGACTGAGAGGGGACATGATAACAATTTTCAAGTACATAAAAGGTTGTTACAAGGAGGAGGGAGAAAAATTGTTCTTCTTAACCTCTGAGGCTAGGACAAGAAGCAATGGGCTTAAATTGCAGCAAGGGCGGTTTAGGTTGGACATTAGGAAAAACTTCCTAACTGTCAGGGTGGTTAAGCACTGGACTAAATTGCCTAGGGAGGTTGTGGAATCTCCATCATTGGGGATTTTTAAGAGCAGGTTAGACAAAACACCTGTCAGGGATGGTCTAGATAATACTTAGTCCTGCGTTGAGTGCGGAGGACTGGACTAGATGACCTCTCAAGGTCCCTTCCAGTTCTATGATTCTATGATTTAAGGTGTCAAGACATTTTATCTCTGCATCCTATGCTGAGGTGACATGTACCCAGTCAATATGGGGATAGCTGAAATCCCTCATTATTAATGAGTTTTTTATTTTTATAGCCTAATCTCCCTGAGCATTTCAGTCACTATCACCATCCTGGTCAACTGGTCTGTAGTATATCCCTATTGCTATATTCTTATTATTCAAGCATGGAATTACTATCCCTAGAGATTCTATGGTACAGTTTGGTTCATTGAAGATTTTTACTTCATTTGACTCTATGCTTTCACATATAGGGTATGTCTACACTGCACTCTAAACGTGGTTCTGTGGGTCCCGCGCCTGTCGAGTCAGTGTTTCCAAACCCGTGCTTGAGTGTATTGTAAACCTGGGTTTACAATTGCTGGACCTGATCTCACAGTTGTGCTAGCGTGTCCACACTGTGTCACCTAGATCTTCTGATCTGGTCTTGGGTTGACCTGCGTTCAAACTAGAGTTGCCAACCCTCCCGGTTTCGCTGCGTGTCTCCTGGAATCTCCCGGAGCCTACTGCAGCCAAACTGGGAGATTTTAAGCTCTAACAGTCCGGCGGCGCAGCAGGGCTAAGGCAGGCTCCCTTACCTGCCTTGGCACTGCGCTGCTCGCGGAAGCGGCCAGCATGGCCCTCTGGCTCCGGGGGGGGACAGGGGGTCTCTGTGCGCTGCCCTCGCCCCAAGCACCAACTCTGCAGCTCCCATTGGCCGGGAAGGATAGCTCAGTGGATAGTTCAGTGGTTTGAGCATTGGCCTGCTAAACCCAGGGCTGTGAATTCAATCCTTAAGGGGGCCACTTAGGGATCTGGGGCAAAATCAGTACTTGGTCCTGCTAGTGAAGGCAGGGGGCTGGACTCGATGACCTATCAATGTCCCTTCCAGTTCTAGGAGATAGGATATGATAATTTAACTGCGGCCAATGGAAGCTGCGGAGGCGGTGCCTGCAGGCAGTGGTGTGCAGAGACCCCCTGGCCCCTCCGCCTAGGAGCTGCTGCCAGAGGGATGTGCTGGTCACTTTCGTGAGCCATCTGAGATAAGCGCTGCCCCCTCAACCCCTCCTCTACCCCTGCCCCAGCCTGCACCCAAACTCCCTCCCAGTGCCTGCACCCCTCCCCCCAGTCCAGAGCCCACTCCCTCCTGGAGCCCACACCCCCTCTGCACCCCAACCCCCTGTCCCAGACCAGAGCCCGCACTCTACACACAAACTCCCTCCCAGAGCGTGCATCCTGCACCCCCTCCCGCACCCAAACTCCCTCCATAGCTTGCACCACACATCCCAATCCAGGGCCTGCACCCGGTCCCCAACCGCCTGCCCCAGCCTGGTGAAAATGAGAGCAAGCAAGCCACAGATCGGAGGGGGCGGGGCCTCGAGGAAGGGGCAAGGATCTTTGGGTTTGTGCTAGAAGACAGTTGGCAACCCTAGTTCACACTGCAAAATGACAGGGCTTTGACCCGAGTCACGGCGGGACTTGGACTCTGACCCATTCCCGTAGCGGGGTTCTAGGATCCGCGACCTGGCTGACCCCAGTCAGGCCGACTTGTGTGTGGATGGAAGTGGGGTTGGGGCTCCAGCCGGAGTCAGAGCCTGGCCGCGCAGCCAGACCCCGAGAGATTTCCAGCTCCCTGTTCTGGCCACACTGTGACTTGGGCTGTGTCCACACAGCCTGAGTGACTGGCCCTGGCCTGGCCCGGGGGGGGATGCTGATTTCTTTGCAGCCTGACTCCTGATTTGGGAAGGCCTGGGGTGGGCACGGCTGGTGTCCAGCCCCACCCCAAGGCCCGGCCCCGGGGCTCCCCGCTGCTTTTCCATGGCACTTCTCGGGAGCTGGAGCAAACAGGCCCGGCGCAGGAGGGAGCAGCCTGCAAGCTGGAGGGTTTGCTGGGCCCCTGGCCAAGGCGTGCAGCTCCCCGGCGGGCGGAGCCTGGCCAGGGGGAGGGGATCTGGACCCGGAGGGGGCGGGTCCGGTCCAGTCCAGGGCCCGGTTGCAGCCGCGGTGCGAGGCGGGAGGCGCAGGGCGGCCCCGGGGCTTTGCTTTGCCGCTTTTCCCGGGGAGGAAAGTTACTTTGCAGCTGCGGGGAGCCTCCCTCTTTCCCCGGCAAGGCGTTTGCACCGCATCGCCCTCGCAGGAGCGGGGGGGAGCGTCTCCCGAGCCCTCCCCTGGCGCTGGGGCAGCCTCGCCCCGGGAGCCGGGCTCCGCATTGCCCTGCGCCGGAGGGAGCCGCCCTGCTGCCGGGGCGCCCCGGGGGGAGCCATGTCCCTGCGGCGGGTGGCGGAGCCGGAGCCGCCGCTGCAGCGCTGGCTGCCCACCCACGTCCAGGTGACCGTGCTGCAAGCCCGGGGCTTGCGGGCCAAGGGCGGCGGGAAGCCGGGCACCAGCGATGCCTACACCATCATCCAGCTGGGCCGGGAGAAGTACAGCACCTCGGTGGCGGAGAAGAGCGCCGGCAGCCCGGCGTGGCAGGAGGAATGCTCCTTCGAGCTGCCCCCGGGGGCGCTGGCGCTGGAGGAGCCGGCGGGCTGGGGAGGGGGCCCCCCCCGCGGCCAGGGGGGCTGCGCGCTGGTGCTCACCGTCATGCACCGGGCGCTCATCGGCCTGGACAAGTTCCTGGGCCAAGCCACCGTGCCCCTGCAGCCGGTCTTCAGGGAGAGCCGCTCCACGAAGAGCCAGTGAGTATCCAGCAGGATCCCCCCCCCCGGGGTGGCTGGGCGTGGGGCTCGGCTGGGTGTCGGGGTGAGGGTTGCATTTGCCCCCTTGTTGCAACGGTATGGCCCCCCCCAAATTCAAAATCCGTCCAGACTGCACCGCCTGGAGGGGCTGGCGGCCAGCCCGGGGCGCACGCACCGCTTACCGCATTGCAATGTGTTAGCGCTGGGTTGTAAAGTTAAGACCCCCCCCCCCTCCTCTAGGGTGACCAGACAGCAAGTGTGAAAAATCAGGACAGGGGGTGGGGGGTAATAGGAGCCTATATAAGAAGAAAGACCTAAAAATCGGGACTGTCCCTATAAAATCGGTACATCTGGTCACCCTCCCCTCCCCACCCCCCTTGGAGCCGGGCAAATCCCATGGGAGTTGCGTCACCCCAACGGGAATGGGTCTTTTCCCCCATCTCCGGACCGGGGTGGGTGGGAAATGCTATGGCGAAAAGTTCAAGCAATTGCATGCAAAGAACGTTCCCCATAAACTTCCTCGGCCCCTGGGTCTGCAGGGCACAGAGCGCCCCAAATGTTGTGTGCCCAGTTACTGGAACTGGTTGGCCACAGGAAGGTGGATGAAGTTCAGTTTTTGCAGGGCTCTCTCCCGCACCGGGAAGAGTTGGATCAACTCCTGGTGACATGGCTGCAGTGGGCAGCAGAGTTGGAACAACTTGAGTGTTTTTTAAGCGTCGGGTTGAATGCAAAGTCTTCTGTCCAAGGGTTGGGAGTGTTCGCCTGCGCCAAATCCTAAACATCAGAGAGTCTAGCCTCCTCTGCTCACTCAAGCTTGGCTGCCTGAGTCACTGCAGAGGGACTTGGGAGGGGCTGGGCATATGTTCCAGTCTCCATCCATTGGGTAGTGTCCCTCTCCCAGGCATGGCAGGAGACAGAGTGGAGATCTTGTGGAGAGCAGGATTAACAGTGTTAAAGGAGTCAGAACATTGTTTTCCCCCAAAACCCAAACAAATCTGGTTTGGTTTTGCTCCACAGAACAGCAAGGCTCTCGGGGCTCTGGCTTGCCTAATATGGGCAGTTTTTTGGTGGAAAGGAGGTGGGTTGGTAACAATTTAAAAAGGGAATAACTCTGCTCTGTGTAGTTTGACTTATTTTTCTGGGAGCATTTGCTGATCGCTTTACTCTTACATGGATGAAGAGATTGGAAAAGATTTTTTTTTTCTCTTGCTGATGATAGCTCATCTCAATTGATTGGCCTCTTACAGTTGGTCTGGCTACTTCCACCTTTTCATGTTCTCTGTATGTATAAATATCTTCTTTCTGTGCGTTCCAGTCTATGCATCCGATGAAGTGGGCTGTAGCCCACGAAAGCTTATGCTCAAATAAATTTGTTAGTCTCTAAGGTGCCACAAGTACTCCTGTTCTTTTTGCGGATACAGACTAATACGGCTGCTACTCTGAAACCTGAGATTGGAAGAATGGATGGTTCGAAAGAGAAGTCCTATTTAGGTCACAAGGCAACAGCTTGTCTGCAGGCTTTAGAGGGAGACTTGATTGCTAGATCACAACCATTGGGAGGCAGTCCTACTTTTGTGTGTGTGTGTGAAATTTAACTTTCAGTGCTCCTTGCAGCTTGCTCTGGGCATTGATGGATTATACTCTGGACAAGGTTGGAATGCACAAAGCTCTCCAGAAGGAAAGCAATGCCCCTTTGTCAGAGTATTTAAAGAAAGCGATTGTGCAAAGGGCGAGGCCTTGCGTCCACGCCATGCTAAATATTTAATGAGGAAAACCGTGTTAAAGAATCAGTGTGTGCTGGCTTTACTTTGGCTCAGATCCTGAAGCTGGATAAGCATGTGCGTAACTTTGTTCACAGGAGTAGTCCCGTGGAACGTGGGAATGGAGCCTAAGGCTGAAAGCTCTTTGCGGCCGGAGCGAACTTTTCATTGTGTGTGGCTGTACAGTGCCTAGCGCAGTTGGCCCCTGATTTTGAGGTCCCTGGGTGCTACTTTAGCAACAATAATACTGCTGTTATCTTGCGAGCCTTTTGCACTGTTTACATTTTGCAGGCTCTTCCTCTGGCTGTATTGCCGGCCGTTTCTTCTGACTTGCTCGGGAGCTGGCAGTGATGGTGTCTCATGTGATAACTTGCATCACAGCAGTCGGATTGCTTTGATGCTTTGGTGTGTAACCCAAGTAGTGGGCTCCTGCCCAGGAACTCTGCTGTGCCGATCTTAACCCTTTTCTTCGCTTAGTTTTGTTTCTTTGAAGGTGTCGTATGGAGCTGTGTTTCTAACCCCGCTTAAGTTGTGGCACTGACTGAATATACATACAGCTTTATAACGGTGATGTAGAAACACCCTAAACGTACGTTTCAGAGTAGCAGCCGTGTGAGTCTGTATCCGCAAAAAGAACAGGAGAACTTGTGGCACCTTAGAGACTAACAAATTTATTAGAGCATAAGCTTTCGTGGGCTACAACCCACTTCTTCGGATGCATAGACTGGAACACACACACAGAAGATATTTATACATACAGAGAACATGAAAAGGTGGGAGTAGCCAGACCAACTGTAAGAGGCCAATCGAATGAGATGAGCGATCATCAGCAGGAGAGAGAAAAAAACTCTTGAAGTGATAATCGAGATGACCCATAGAAGGTGTGAGGATATTTTAACATATTTTAACATGAGGAAATAGATTCAATTAGCGTCATGACCCAACTATTCCCAGTCTCTGTTCAAACCTAAGTTAATTGTATCTAATTTGCATATTAATTCAAGTTCAGCAGTCTCTCTTTGGAGTCTGTTTTTGAAGTTTTTTTGTTGCAAAATTGCCACCTTCAGGTCTGTCACTGAGTGGTTAGAGAGGTTGAAGTGTTCTCCCACTGGTTTTTGAATGTTATGATTCCTGATGTCAGATTTGTGTCCATTTATTCTTTTGCGTAGAGACTGTCCGGTTTGGCCAATGTATATGGCAGAGGGGCATTGCTGGCACATGATGGCATATATCACCTTGGTAGATGTGCAGGTGAATGAGCTCCTGATGGTGTGGCTGATGTGATTAGGTCCTGTGATGGTGTCACTTGAACAGATATGTGGACAGAGTTGGCATCGGGCTTTGTTGCAAGGATAGGTTCCTGGGTTAGTGTTTATGTTGTGTGGTGTGCGGTTGCTGGTGAGTATTTGCTTCAGGTTGGGGGGCTGCCTGTAAGCGAGGACTGGTCTGTCTCCCAAGATCTGTGAGAGTGAGGGATCATCTTTCAGGATAGGTTGTAGATCTTTGATGATGCGCTGGAGAGGTTTTAGTTGGGGGCTGAAGGTGACGGCTAGTGGCGTTCTGTTATTTTCTTTGTTGGGCCTGTCCTGTAGTAGGTGACTTCTGGGTACTCTTCTGGCTCTGTCAATCTGTTTTTTCACTTCAGCAGGTGGGTATTGTAGTTTTAAGAATGCTTGATAGAGATCTTGTCGGTGTTTGTCTCTGTCTGAGGGATTGGAGCAAATGCGGTTGTATCTTAGAGCTTGGCTGTAGACAATGGATCGTGTGGTGTGTCCTGGATGGAAGCTGGAGGCATGTAGGTAAGTGTAGCGGTCAGTAGCTTTCTGGTATAGGGTGGTGTTTATGTGACCATCACTTATTAGCACAGTAGTGTCTAGGAAATGGACCGCTTGTGTGGATTGGTCTAGGCTAAGGTTGATGGTGGGATGGAAATTGTTAAAATCATGGTGAAATTCCATAGGTTAAACCAAGCCTTGCATCTCAGGACAACATGGAATAACCAAACACTGCTTGCTTTTATTGATTGATGGCAAAAGAAACTCTTTAAGCACTAAATTGCTCAAGGGAAGAGCTATTCAGCATCTGTGCCCTCACACACCTGAGATTGCCTGGGGCTAGACATGTGATGACTGGGAGCTTTATGTGACTGTGGGATGAAAACTCAGGTGCTCCGGTACCAAAAGCATAGGAGAATCTCCATTCATTGTCAGCGGAGTAGGGGCTAAGACACATAGCTGAGCAGTTCTGATTCTGTCTAATGCGGGGGGGTTGTTGCACAAATGCTAACTCGTTCAGAGCAGCGCATTGTTATTGGGAGGTCAGCAGTGCTGGATAACAGCGGAGCCATTTGTAGATTTTCATCACAAGCAGCAGATGCATAAAGTGCAGTACAGTGGATAACTGCCAAGTGACTCCTGGCCTCGGTGCTTGCATTCTCTAGGCAAGTTGGTGCAGCACAGAACAAGCTGTATACTGTCAGAGAGTGAATACTTCACAGGGCCCATATGGACCTTGGGGAGTCTCTTTGGAGGAGACAGAGGTTGCTTAGCAAACCCTCACTGGAGACAACCAACCCGCAGGCTTGCAATGAAATAGTGCAAAACCCTACAAGTCTGAGGGGTTAGTTCAACAAGCTACGTTATACAGTAACTTATAACTGCCTGACCTTGGAAGTAAACTTTCAACGTCTGGTTGAGTCAGCTGTAGACACCTTTGTTTGGGAGAATGTCTGCTAGTACCAGATAAAAATCAGCTAAGCTCTTTGAGGCCACATCGCTGACTGCACTGCACTGTCTCCCCAAGGCCGTATGCGTGAAGATAGACACGGAGCCTTCAGGAATTCAATAAGAACTGAACGACCGTATCATTATATGGTGACATAAATGCAACTGGTGCTTTGCAGTGGCGGCTCACCCTGAAGAGATGACAACAGAGTTATGACAGGACAGGAGATGATAAACTGGGGGTGGGTGGGGAGAGAAGGCAAGGGTTACAGCAGCAAGATCAAAGCCTGGTTGCATAGAAAAAACACATTTTATTAAGCTAAGCAACTCTCTTTTTGAGAAAAGACACGGTCTAAAGTATTAAAGGCCTCACAGAAGCATCTTGAGGCGGAATAGCAGGTAAGGTCAAGGAAAAAGTCCAGGGAGTGGGGGTGGCCCGTATGGCAGGAAGCAATGGAGACAAAGACAAGAGCATAATAAGGAATCATGCGTGGAGCAGAAACAGTGACACTTCCTA